CTCTCTCTCTCTCTCCCTGCCTCAGACGCACCTCGAGCGTTGAAGATTAAAAATAAAAAGAATAACTCAGAGTTTCGAAATTCGAAAAGGGTGGTCGAGTTTCAAGGGCCACCCTGCCTGTGTGTGTGGCTCGCCAAGCCAGCTGCAGCCCAAATCAGGCTGCGCTGCGCTTCGCCACCTCCCACGCGCCCCCTGCGCCCGCGCCAGATTTGGCAGCTCCACTCCGCCTGTCACTTGGCGATTTAGGGCGTGGCGCGCCGCCCAACTTTTTTTCCCCTCTTTCTTTTGCCCCGCAGTAGCAGCAGCAGCAGCCGTCCCTTCCAACTCGTTCGTCACATGGATTTTTAACTAATTTTCCTGTATTTTCTCGCGCCCTGCTGGATTTCTCTTGTTTCTTGGTTTCAGGCTCTGGAGCCCGTTCGCTCGCTCTGCTTTTCGCCTCGCGAGCTGGGAAAATTTGAGACGGGGGCGGCGCATGGCTGTCCGCTGCGCTGTTGGCCGCCAGATTCGCCGCACGACAACGCTGCACGAACAACCCTCCCCCCTTCCAGGTTCGGCACCCATCTCGAGCGTCCGACGAGGAGGCGCATCCAAGTTTTCAGTCCCAACGAGGCCCAAGTTTTTTTCTCTCTCCCCCCTCCTTTGTTCGCGGCTCAAGCGCAGCCCAAGCGCAGCTCAAGCCCTCTTTCTCCCCGCTGGGCCTTGCCGCCTTCGCCACCCTCGCCTGCTGCTCATCCGCTGGGATTCGAAGCCTGGGTCCCATCCCGTCGGTGCGACGAGAGCCGTGCCATCAAAGGGCAGCCACCCTCTCCGCCTCACCCTCGCGTGTTGGCCCTCCCTCCCTCTCCTCCCGCGTTGGGGCGTGTTTTGAGTGCGCCGCCCTGCCCTTCCCCCTGCAAAGGGCCCCCGCTGCTGCCCGACTGCCTCCCGAAACCTTACGCGGGCAGGCGCTCCTTCTCCGCCTGGCAGCTGCTCTTCTGTTCGCCCTGCCAGATCAAGCTTGGCTGCTCACTCACCCGCTCGCTCAAGACGCTCGCAACGCTCACGACGCTCACAACGCTCACGGCTCTCCGCTCGACCTTCGAACCTGGGCCGACACCTCCTTCCCGCAGCCGCCGCCGCCGCCGCCCACCGCCGAATTGCAATATATCCCTTCTACCTTGAACCCGTCAGCCCGGCAATCTCCCCCCCCCTTCCCTTACCCCAGACCCTCACTCCCTCGTTCCTCAACCTTGGAGCCCTCCTCATCTTTGTCGAGGCGCCATCACCATCTGGACCAGCATCTCTCGCAATACCTACCTCGCCAACCTTCAGTAGACTTGTCCCCCCTGCTCGACTCGCCATCTCACCTTTCGCTCCAATAGAGCCGCGCTTGTTTCATTCAGCCGCTGCAACATCCTTCCGCACCTCATAAGCCTCAAAGCACTCGCCCAAAAAGCGCCATCGCCGCCGCCACCCTATCCTGGACTTCCTTGCATCTCGTGACGTCTTTGATCCCAGCTTCTGGTTCGCACAAAGCATCGTCTGCCATCCTCGCATCCCATCGCCAAAGCTCCCTTCTCCACGTCTAAAAGCATTCTCCATTCCCAAGCCCTCTCTCCAACCCCCACCCACGCAAACACAAGCATTTGCCTCCCACCCGTACACCGTCCTTTCATCAACTCCGACTTTGCATCTCGCCCTCCGCACCACGCAGCTCTCTCATCCTCGCGACAGTCTGGCCATCCTCTCATATGCGCACTGCAGCTCAACGCTCCCACTCCATTCTCTGATCGTCTCTCCCAAAGTTGCCACCTAGTCCGTGCATCTTTTCCTCGTCGGCCCTCCCCTCTACCCTCTGCCTACCAACTCGTCAGTCAACATGGCCGCCACCGTCGCCCCCGCCTACAACGCCTCGCATGGCCACCAGTCCGCCGTGGACGTCTCGGCTGCTTCGGCCACCGCCGCCACCACCAAGGCCTCTTCGTCCTCATCGTCATCGTCGCGCCCCTCGCAGCGATCCGAACCGCAAGACCGCTTCTACGGTTACAGAGGTGAGTGCTTCCTTCATCATTCTCCTCCCATTTTCACGCGCGAACATCTTGACTGACAATCGAATATCCCTTCCCTGCCATCGATCGCAAACAGAAACTTCGGAGCTGTGTGAAAGGTTCATCCTCTACCTCTTCGCCTGCCCACTCGACTCGACCTCGGCATCCGCCAGTCTCGCTTCGTCCAACGGCACGCCCGCTCCGCGCCTCTCCGAGTTCATCGCCTACGCGCTCTACAGGACGCGTCTGCCCGAGGTCGTCACCTTCCAGGCGCTCTTTCTCTTGCTGCGACTCAAGATCCGCTTCCCCGCCGCGCGCGGCTCGTCGGGCCACCGCCTCTTCATCTCGGCACTCATGATCGCCAGCAAGAGCAGTTGCGACGACACCTACTCTAACAAGAGCTGGGCCATTGTCGGCCAAGGCCTCTTCAGCCTGCGCGAGATCAACCAGATGGAGCGCGAGCTCTTCGGCTACCTCGGATACAAGGTCAACGTCTCGCCCGAGGAGCTCGAGGTGTTCACCTACGAGCTCGAGCAGGACTGCGACGGCGGCCGCATCGACCTCGTCGTGCGCAAGATCCTCCAACTCATGTCGCGCCGCAACAGCATCGACGACGCCAGCATCGGCATGGCGCGCGAGCGCTCCGAGAGCGTCTCGAGCGCAAAGTCGTCGGCTCCGCCCACGCCCGCGCTCGAGTCTTCGGGCTTCTCGTCGCCATCGCTCGACTCGCACGCCGGCCCGCAGCGCGTCTCGTCGGGTCGCCACTCGCGGCAGTCGAGCGTGTCGCACTCGTTTGGCCAGCGCGCCAGCATCTCGGGCTACGCACCTGCCACCATGGCCATGTCGAGCTCCACCGGCCACCTCGCCAGCGCCACCTCGACCGCCGCCGCGGCTGCCATGCCTGCCGCCACGCCCATGGTCAAGAGCGCCAGCCACCGCCAGGAAAGGAGCGCCACTGCACCGAGCTTCATCCATCCGTTCATCAACCACGCGCGCGAGAGGTCGTGACCGTACACGATGCCCACGCACAGCATGCCGCTCTCGTCGTCGGCGTCGGCCTCGAGCTGTGCCGAGCGTCCGTACTACTCGAACTCGCCTGCTGCCAGCATCTCTTCGTCGTCGGTATGCTCGTCCATGTCCTACGCGCACTCGAGCGCCATGTCGGCCACGCCTTCGCCGTATGCATCGCGCTCCACCATCAGCGGTCGCACCACGCCCGACACGCCTCCCTCGGACCTCGACTCGACGCAGTGGGAAGACGCACGCTTCTATGGCGTCGACCTCAAGGCGGAGCTCAGCCCGTCGTCCACCGGCGCCTACAAGCTGCCGCACCAGGCGGCTGCGCCCGGCTTTGCACAGCACGCCTCGGCCGCCGATTCGTACCTGCATCCGTACAGCTGGAGGTCGTAGTCTTTTCCCACACCCACACTCTTTTGTCGCGCATCTTTCTTTTCTATCGTTGGTCGGCCTCGCGTGTGCCCAGCTGCGCGAGACGCTCCGGCCTTTCGCAACAGTCCCTTTTTTGCATCCCCACACCCACTGGCTTCGTCGCATTCCCTCTTCCCTCAGCTGTGCGTGGTCCGCGAGCATGGTCTCTGCTGGACTCGCACCCCTCTCCCCGATGTGAACCTAGATACCCCTTTTCCCAAAATCCAACGCATTCGAGCATCATTATCGTCGCCGAGAATCCACAAAACCGTTCCTCGCTTCCCACTGCTGTCCGTGCGTCTGCCGCCTGTCTTGGTCTTGAGTCCCCTTTGCATTTCACCAACCAGCCAGGTCGTATGGCCCACTTGGTCTTCTTACGCTGGCACAGCTTCTTGTGGACTCGCAAGAATCTGTCTGCGCGATCCTCTCTCTGCACAGACTGTCGAGGGCTGGAGGATTGGCAGGGGATCTGCAGGCGGCATGGGCGGGCTCATCGGGAACGGGGAGGGTTGCCAACGGAGAGTTTCGTGCGGGATTCAGATACCCGCTTACCACTGACTTGGCTCGAGTGAGACCTGGCGTTGATTGAATTCATGCGTGGCAATCAGCTCCCACACCACACCCACACCGCACCGTTTGGGCATCTTTGGTATCTTGACGTGGCATTTGTTCATGGCAAGAGGACGATATGTCAGGGAGGCGGAGCGAGATTTTGGCCTTCCGAATTTGTGGGTGGGAGCCTCTTTCTTTTGGCGCCATGCAAGGGGGTTGGTGGCGGCGCTAAAGGCATCCAATCATCTCTCGGCTACGCAACAATACTGTCCGGCTCGTTTTGGGCAGTCAAACCGGTATTGGTGGTTTCTTCTTGCTGCGGGGCTCCCCTGCTTTGCGCCGCTGGATAGGCTCGCTTCCAGCTCCCTCGGTACTTGCCACCGACGCACGCTAAGATTGCATTGGCGAGCACGCCAGTTGTCGGAACGGTGCAAAACACTCGGGGCCAATGCTCGTTGGCGTGCATTGGATCGTGCCAAAGCGCAACCTGGATTGACAAAGTTCCAGTTGCCTGGACAACTTATGCAACACCCCTCGGAGCCTCTTGGAAGCTTCTTTTCAGTCGGAGACAAACGCCCGTAATGGCGTGCAGTGTTGTATCCCGATCCTTTGCCGTGTGCAGCATGCAAGGTCCATCACACTCTGACCCCACTCTGACCATTCTCCGAGCGCACGACGACGAGGTGCGGCTGCCGAGCAAGGGCAGGTTGCGTCGGAAGCAAGCTGCTCCGAAGATGCCGACTTGTAGCTAGGATACGCCGCCGAGGTGCAGCTTCACCGCGCGGTTCGGCGTTTTCAGCTGCTCATCTCCAGATCCGCCAAAGATGCGGTGGCTGCAAGGTTGTCTCCGAAATCTCCGCATTGCCGCTTCGTCTAGGTCGCTTTGGCATTCCGGTGGAAGAACAAGAGCTAATACTTCCACGTGTGCGACCGGGCATTCCCATACACTGTGTTACGAGAAAACCCTGGCGGCAAAGGCTGGGCGGAGATGCAAGGGCGTGCAGACGCCACCCCGCCTTGCCTTGCTGCGGCTCTCTCACGCCCCTGCCCAAAAGGCTCCCAGCCCCGCTCCTTCCATTCTCCCGGAAAGTCATGCTGGGTGTACATCCATCCTCTTGGGCGCAAGACCCATCTGCACGAGCTCCATCATGCTCAAGTGCGGCTCTTTGCTTTCAGCCGCCGCAAAAGCGCTTGGCAAGCCGACATGCACGCCCGCCGAATTCGCCGCACACGGTTGCCCGCCTTCCGCCCCGGCTCCCTGAAGCCTAACACACCGAGCGAGGGCGATTTGCCGATCTTGGACTTCACCCGATCTGCGAAATTGCTGCACTGCTAATCGGAGCGATGCTGGTCTCGGTGAGGACAGCCGCGCTACTTGACACAAAGGGACTTGGAAGCCTGGGAAATTCGCAGCAGCTGCCCTTTGTCTGCGGCGCACTAGATGTAAAGGCAGAAGAAGTCCCTTTGTCACTCCATCCCACAGCTCGGGCTGAGACAACAATGCCTTGCAAACCGAAACTCCCACACCGAACCATGTCGCACACAAAGGAACAGCAGAGCCATTGTGTCTCTGCATGTCGTACATTCAGCAATGAGCACGATCCAAGCCGTTTACCCGGACGTTGATGTTGTCCCTCCACCATCTCCTTTGCCACCTTCCTAGACCCCCTCTCGACCATCCCTCCTGAAGCTGTTGCGGTAGAGGCGACGCGTCCAAGTGGACAAGATGCCGGGCAAGCGCAAGTCTGAATCCAAAGCTACACCTTCAACACTCGCCAAGCCGTCGCTGCGGCTACTTTTCAGCTTCCTATCACGGCGCGATGTGGTCCTACTCCTTCTGCCGGCGGTCGCGTCGTCGATCGCGGTGGGCATGGTGCCAACCGCCATGTCCAAGGTTGTCGGTCACGCCTTTGATGCATTCACCAGCTACGGCCGCGACTCGGCCACCGCGGCCCCGCACGCTGCCGCCGAGGTGAACAGACACTTTATCAACCGGATCCTCGGCTCGGTGTATGCACTGCTGGGTCTGGCGGCTGCGATGCTCGTCATCAGCACGCTCTCCGTGTCCGCATGGATCTGTCTCGGCGAGCGTGCGGCTGCACGAGTGCGGTTTGCGGTCTTCCACAGCGTGATCGCCAAAAAGATGGCATGGTACGATACGGGCATGGGTCTTACCAGCGACGACCAGGACGAGGGCGAGCAGGTCGAGATGTCGCCGGCGGGGCTGATGACCAAAGTCGCGCGCGAATGCGATGATCTGCGCGTCGCACTCTCCCGCGAAGTCGGCGATGTCACGCAGCACATCACGACGGCGGTGGCGAGTCTGGTGCTGGCCATGTACACGAGCTGGAGCCTGACGCTCGTCATTCTCGCATCGATCCCCGTCGTGCTCGTGCTGACCGTCGTCACCGAGATCGGCGCCAATCCGTGGCTGCAGCGCGAACGCACCAGCACCGCACACGCCACCTCGATGGTCGAACGCGTGGTCGAGGCGATCAACACAGTCAAGGCGTTCAATGCGCAGAGCAGAGAGTCGGCGCGGTTCGACGAGGAGCTCGCGAGTGGCTCCAAGTCGTACCGCCGCATGCTGCTGTGGTGGGCCATCCGATTCGGTGTGACGGGTGGGCTTGTGTTTGCCACCTTTGTGCAGGGATTCTGGTTCGGTGCACATTTGGTGAGCAAGGGAAAGCTCAGCCCGGGCCAGGTCATGACCGTGTTCATGGCGAGTCTGCTCGTGTCCGGCACGCTCAACGAGATCGTTCAGGCGCTGTCGTACATCGACAAGGGCAAGGTCGGGGCTGCCAACCTTGTCAACCTCATCAACTCTCCGGACGACGATCGGGCGGCGCACACGCAAGCAGAGCGAAGAGGCTCAAAGACCGCCAGCTCCATCCACTCGACCGGCTCCGAGAGCGACGAGAAGCACCACTCGCTCACGACGCACACCAAATCGACTCTGGGCAGCGAACAAGTGTTCGACATTCTCGAGTACGACGTGTCCAGGGCCAAGGCAGTGCCCATGTCGATCGAGCACATCCCAACCACGCCTTCGCCTGGCATCCACAGTCCGGACAACTTTACCTACCGCGCGCGACCGCGCGTGCACACCATACGCGGCGCGCGGCGTGCAGTGCAGGGTCTGCGTCGAATCGCACCCGCCACGTGCCAGGGCGAGGTGCATCTGCGAGGCGTGAGCTTCAGCTATCCGTCGCGCCCCGACACGTGCGTGCTGCGCAACGTCGATCTCTACTTCCCACCTGCCGAGATGACGTATGTAGTGGGCGGCAGCGGGAGCGGCAAGAGCACGCTTGCTCACCTCCTGCTGCGTCTGTACGAGCCGTCGGCGGGCACGATCCAGATCGACGATCAGACGATCGAGTTCCTCGACCCGCACTGGTGCCGCCAACACATCAGCTCGGTGAGCCAGGACCCGATCATCTTTGACATGAGCGTGCACGACAATGTTGCGCTCGGCCTCGTCGGGATTGTCCAGGGCTCGGCAACATCGGGCATTCCCAGTGTCGCGCGCGAGGAGGTCGAGGCTGCGTGCCGACTCGCGCTGCTGCACGAGTTTGTGCGCGATCTGCCAGACGGCTACGAGACCAGCCTTGGGTCCAACGGCACCGCGCTCTCGGGCGGACAGAGACAGAGGCTCGCGATTGCGCGCGCAAGGCTGCGCGATCCCGCCATCTTGATCCTCGACGAGGCCACGTCGGCGCTCGACCCCACCACGCGCCACCTGGTGCACGAAGCCATCAAGACGTGGCGCCGAGGCAAGACGACGATCGTCATCACGCATGATCTGTCCCAGATCGAGCCGGACGACTTTCTCTACCTGCTCGAAAACGGCGAGGTCGCTCAGCAGGGGTACCGCTCCGACCTCGAGGCCAAGGATGGACCGCTGAGGTCGTTGTCGCTCCAACAGCATCAACGCAGCCAGTACGAGGACCAGGAACAAGAGCAAGTGGTGGAGCAGCTCGAGGCGGTAGGGAGGGAAGAGCCGCAGGGCAGGAGGAGACGCATGAAGTACAGGTCGATGTTCGGATGGGAACGCGAGGCGGGTGTGCTTTCGGAGCATCTGTCGCTCATCATCTCGCAGAAGCTCGACAGTACGCCGTCGCATCTCAAGCCGCTCCGACTCGCTGAGCGCCAGGCGATCAATACGTACTTTGAGGACGCCGAGACGCTGCGTGCTTCTGGATCTACCGCAAGCGACCGGCGTGCGCGCACCGTGCCGCTGGAAAGGAGGCGGTGGGATGAAGTGCAGACCTCGCACGTCTTGTCCGAGACCATGATCCACACGGGGGCACCAGAGGTGGAAAAAGCGGGTGCGGCCAAGGTGGCGACGATGCGCGAGGTGTGGCGTATCCTCTGGCGGACGATTCCGAGCCGAGCGCTGTTGGTGGCAGGCATCACGCTGTGCATCATGGCAGGAGCACTCACCCCGGTGTTCTCGTTCCTGCTCGCGCAGCTAGTGGCGACCATGGGCCGACCGGACCAGCAAGCGGCGGTGGTCAAGTGGAGCCTGCTCGTGCTGCTCGTGGCATTGCTCGAGGGCGTGTTTTCCTTTACGCGCTATCTGCTCGTGGAGACGCTGGCCGATGCGTGGCTGCTGCGTCTGCGCAGCTCGTCGTACCGCCACGTTGTCGCGCAGGACCGCACGTGGTTCGACCGCGGCGAGAACTCGGCGGCGCGCATCTGCCAGAGCATCGTCAAGGACGGCGAGGACGCACGCGGGCTGGTGGGGCAGATCATCGGCCAGCTCGCGCTGATCTGCTCCATGATCACGCTCGGTATCGTGTGGGCGCTCGTTGTGGGTTGGAAACTCACGCTCGCCGGAGTAGCGTTCGGACCTGTGTTTCTCGCTGCCACATTCTGCCAGAGCCGGGTGATCAGCGTATACGAGGCGCGCAACAAGCTCAAGCGCGAGGCGGTGTCGGAGCGCCTGCACGCTGCGCTGTCGCACATCCGTGCCATCCGTGCCATGGGTCTCGAGAGCGTGTTTGCGCAGCTGCACCAGGGCGCGCTCGACGATGCGCAGCGGTGCGGTATGCAGGCCAGCGTGTTCTCGGGGTTTGGTCATGGCCTGAGCGATGCGCTGACGTACATCGCCGAGGCGCTCATCTTCTTTGTGGGCGCGAAGCTGATCGTGTCCGGAGAGTACGACTTTGCGAGGATGATGCAGGTGTTCAACCTGATCATCTTTGCCGTGACGTTCGCGGCGCAGATGCTGACGTTCCTGCCGGGCATGTCCAAGAGCATGAAGGCGCTGGTGGATCTGGACCGGCTCGTGCGGTTGCAAGAGGCGGATGCGCAGCGTGGCGAGGCAAAGGGCGAGATGACATGCGATGTCAAGGGCGATATCGAGTTCCGCAACGTCGGCTTTGCCTACGACGGCAGATGCGAGCGCGTGCTGGATGGGGTGCAGTTCAGAATTGGCGCGGGCGAGTGCGTTGCAGTCGTAGGCTCGTCGGGCTGTGGCAAGAGCACCGTCGCTGCTCTGCTGCAGAGGCTGTACGAGCCGAGCTCTGGCGAGATTCTGGTGGATGGAGTGTCGGTCTCGTCGCTCTCGACCGCATGGCTGCGCGAACACCTCAGCATCGTCGGTCAAAACCCGAGCCTGTTTGACCTATCCATTGCGGCCAACATCGCGTACGGAGCCAACACGAAGCTCTACGATCCGCTCGACACGTCGCTCTCGGACTCGGACCTGGAGCTGGTGCACCAATCTGCGCATGCTGCCAACGCACACAGCTTCATCGAGCACCTGCCTGAATCGTACGCCACCAGTGTGGGTGGAGGTGCAACGGGGTCGGGCAGCAAACTTTCGGGTGGACAGGCACAGCGGATTGCCATCGCGCGAGCGCTGATGCGAGTGCGTGCTCGGATCCTGATTCTCGACGAATGCACTTCGGCGCTGGATCCTGCCAACCAGCAGCTGATTGTCGAGACGCTGCTGGACGCCAAAGCCGCCCTGCGCCAACGCCGAATGACGACGCTCGTCATCACGCACAACGTCGACATGATGCGCCGATGCGACCGCATCATCGTCCTCAAAAACGGCGCAGTCGCCGAACACGGAAGCTTCCAACAGCTGCTCAGTCAAAACGGCTACTTTGCCTCGCTCGCTAGAGCCGGCGAATGGACTGGCTGAACGCTTCCACACATGCCCCAACGGATCCTTTTTCGCACTTTGTCTTTTTGCAATGCATCTTCACTTTCCCTTCTGTCACTCGCATTAAGGTATGAGATGTGGATATGGGCAGGACTATGCGTCTTCGTCGTCGTCGTCGTGGCGCCTGAGGGTGGGCGCGCCGCGGGTGCGTGGATCAAAGTTGGCGCCGTCGATGTTGTGGTTGAGCGCCTTGGTGACTTTGCGTTCGATCTTGTCTGCCTCGTCGAGCTTTTTGGCGCGCACGCGCAGGCCCTCCTGACCGGCCTTGGACAGCACGCCGATGATCAATTCGACGCTGCGGATCGAGTCGTCGTTGGCAGGGATCGGGTAGGTGACGCATCTGGGGTCGACGTCCGAGTCGGTGATGGCGATGGTGGGGATGTTGGCCTGCGTAGCCTCCCTGATTGCAAACGCGTTCTCCACGGGGTTGAGCACGACGACAAGGTCAGGCTGGAGGGTCCGCGATGCGAGCCTGTTGGTGTTGGCGTTACCGGAAGGGTCGAGATCCGCCATTGACTTGAGGATGGCAGAAGCGAGGAGCTTGGGAGCGTTTGTGATCACACCGGGCATCCATCGCTCGGCGGTCACATGGAATCCGTTGGCCCCGAGACGCTTGGTTGCAGCCAGTACGGCAGCCTGCTGACCTGGACGCGTGCCGACGAACAGGATCACGCCGTCGCGCTCGGCAATCGCCTTGACCACCGCCGCTGCACGACGCAGCGCAGGCAGCGTCGCGCGCTCCAGATCAAAGATCGCCACGCCATGGCGCTGGCCGTAGATGTACGGCTGGTTGGCGGCCTTGAGCGACGAGAGCGAGTGGCCCACCTGGGCGGTGGAGGCGACGAGGTGCTGGAGCGTGAGCTGGTGTGCGTCCACCGGGTTGAGACGCAGCTTGTGCGGGCGGAACGAGGTGGCTCGTGTCTGGGTGCTGCCGAGGTCGGAGAGGTTGTTCATCACAGCACGTCGCAGCCGACGCCTCTCGACGGCATCGTCCGAGAATTGCGACTCGGTGGCGGGGTTCGAAGCGGTCACAACATCGGCGGCAACAGCAGCAGCGGCGGCGGCACCATCGGTTGGTGCGGAAGACTGCACTTCGGTGGAGAGCTTGCGCGCGAGCACGGCAGAGCGCGAAGAGACGGAAGAAGAGACCTTGCCCCTCAGCAGGCTGCCGAGGGTGTTCCTCGAGGTGCTTGCGATCGGACTGGCCATCGTGAATGTTCGATGTATACGGGGTTGGGAGGAGGTGGAGTGTCAGTGGAGTGTCACACGGATCATCACCATCATCAGCCTCTTCCCACTTTCTTCGCCTCGCCTCTCCGATCTCGGAACCGGCTGACTCCGAGGACTGTCGCACGAGAGAAGCCGCTCCAAATCGAGTCGAGAGCGCGTCGAGCCAGTGCCGCAGCCACTCGATTCTCAATTCGCACTCGACGGCCACACGCAAAAACGATTAGAGCCGCATTACAAAATTGTAAGCGGGGTCCGGGTGCCGAGTTTGTATTGCTGCGACGTTTCTTCCAAAATTTTTCTTCGGGCTGCAGTTGGATTTGCAAAAAGCTCGCCAGGAGAGCCGTGTGACCCTGGACGAGAAGAACAGGCGCAAGCGACCGAGAAGAAGAAGAAGAAAAAAATCCTGCCTGGCTCAAGAGAGAGAGAGAGAGAGAGAGAGAGAG